AATCTTAAAAAGTCTTAAGAGCAGAAAAGGTCAAGATTTGATACAGGTGTTCAAAATCATGAATGATCCTTCAAAGTTTCTCATTATTTTCCATTTCAGTGGCAGAAAGGTCAGTAACCAGAGGAAGCAAATTTAAGATGTTCGACAGAGAAACTACAAGGATTATGAGAATGTCCTTTTCTTAAACGGTGAGTTGGTCTGATTTGGAACAGACAATCTGAAAGCATGGCGGAAGCACATCAAATAATAACTTCAAAGTGAAAATTCAATAAATACTTAAAGAAATAATATAGTATGGACAAATGCTAGGAGAGTGAGATTGTTTAGATAGCTCTACCAGAGAGAGTGACACAATGGGCTCTCTGTAGTGTTCTAAGTAATTAAATTACAGCTTTCTGAATTTTTACACCACAGATGACAATTCAGCCCATGCTGTCAATTCTCTTTGCTAAAAAATTGAAAGCCAATTCCTCCAACTATGCATTTTCTTCAAACTTTTGAGACCTGCTGTCATAAATCTCTATGCAAACATACACAATGGAAATTATCCATGTAAGCCTGTAAACACACAATTACACCACTCTGATGTTGTCGTTCTGCAAATTTTCACCTTAGCATATACTGCACAGACCTTTGCTCCAGCTAACTCTGCTTTCAAATTGCTTACTTAACCTTAAATAGAATGAATTAAACAAATAGCAAACTCCAGAATTTCCTGCTCAGTGCACAGTCAAGTTTTAAACTCCATATTGCCCTGCCGCAACTCCTCTGTTGCTAAAACTCTAATTCCTGCCCTTTTGTGCCATTTCACTCGATGAGATTTTGGACTAATGCTGACCTCCCATTCTCTACTTTCTAATCTTAAGCAAAACTTCTGTATTGTCTATACTTGTAACTAGTTACACCTATTTATCACTCCAGTTCTTGCCAATTTGCACTGGATTGCAGTCCCCCCATTTTAATATTGCTTAGCTGGGCTTTATCAAATGCCTTAATTTTATGTTTCAGACTCTCTACTTATTAAAAAGAATTCCACTTTTTGATGCACCTACTTTAACCTGAGAGATAGATAGATTCTGTTCTCTATCCATTTCATACCTTAAGATTTCCTGACTATTGATCTATTGTTCTGGTTGTTGATCTTTCTCAGTTGAGTTAATTTGCGACAAGAGTTTCTTCCTTTCCGCCATTTTGCAGTCTTATTCCCCTATCTTTGACACTTCATTATCCTTTCTCTTTGAATCTTACTGAGATAATTACTAATTCCTGTAACTATCTTCTAATAGTCCTCCCATTTTCCTGTTATTTATTGAACTTCACTCCTTAGAACTTTCCCTTAACTTATTGGGCAAGAAATGTATTGAACTCAGAAGTATTCAGAGAAGTATTCACCAGTTTGACTACATACTTAGCTCACTCGAAGAAGTTAACATAAACGGCAAATTAGTATGCACGTGATTCATACATCCTTCTATAATCTAACACAAAAGTGTTTTTTGCCCCTAAATTCCTCATAGAAAGATCAGAAATGTTTTGCAATCTCCAAATCACACAGTATTCTGGTGGCCCAAGTCTGTGGTAACTCTCTTTCTGGATGCTACTCTAGGTTAAAGCTCATTACATCCGATTGTCTTTACCTTTGAAACCTTCTCTCCTATCTCCCACTTCACCACCTAGACAGACCATCTTTAAATTTGGGTGACTTTTCAACCTCCCCAAAGTATTACTCCAAATCATCACTAGTACTTTTGTACTTTCCTGCTGTTGGCCAAATGTTTCACTATTTTGTGACCTAGTCCATAGATTCCCTCCAAGCTTTTCATCTGTATTATATGGAGGAAATCCAAGGACTTGTTACTGCCTCCTTACAAGAAGCAACTCCAAATGTCACATCCCATTATCTCACTGACCTGCACACTAACTCTCAAAATACAAATGGTGGCAGGTGTATCTGTCCCTTAAGACTCTCCATAACACCCAGGAGAATTTACTCATGGAGATGGTCAATTGGAGAAAAGTCACTGTTATTTGTAGAATGGAAGGAAGCAGTAAGGAGCCGGTCCTCCAATCACACGCAGGTTCTGTCTAAAACTTGCTGGCAAGCCTATCAGCAGCAAATGGTGGCGGGGGGGGGGGGGAACAAGCTGGTGAATGGAGGAATATCCCGCAGTTAGGAAAGTAAGTGCTGACAGTAAGGGAATTAACCAATGGAGCATTTGTTAGAGGGCGAGTCTGGGATGGGGAGATGGGTGCCATCTTTTGCTGAGGATGGGATGTCAAGATCTTTTGCTGAGCCTCAAGGGTCTTTTGCTGGATCAGGGAATTCTACCTGCCATGTTCAGGGCCAGGGCATCTGACAAGGCAGCAGGGTAAATATGAAGTTGCAAGAATGCTTGTGGAAGGAGGAGGTGGCTGCTCGGGGACTAGGTAGGATGGAATGAGAAGGAAACAAGTGGGAGGAATGGGAAGGGAAGGAGGATAAAAGGGGGATGGAAAAGGAGGTTGCAAGAGCTGTGAGGATGTGGAGAGAGGTGGTGGCTGGAGTGGGGTCCTGGGGGAAGAATGAAGCTTCAACTGCTGAGGGAATGGAGTGAATGGGAGGTTGCAAAGGAGCTAGAGGGAATCTGCAAAGGAAAGAGAACAGTTTTAAACCTGTCAATAAAAGAATACTTATCAAACTGGGATCCAAGAAAACTGTAAATCACTGAGGTAATGAATTCCTTGCAAATTAATATGTGTAATCTTTAGTTAAAGTTTACACAAGGTCAGGAGCTACCAGGCTTAAAAAATATAACGCAATTGTTAAATTTAAATCTAAAATTAAGATTTAAGATACAGTAAGAGTTGTAACTGCCAAGTGAAAATGTTTCAGCTTTCTCTGTAGAATTATATTAGCTGTGACCTCACCAGAATTCAGGTATGTTTACTATGATGACTTTTTGTACAAAGCGTACGCCAGCTTTTTTTTTTAAAAAGTAACTTCTATTAACACATGCCTCTTGTACCAATACTGTAGTGCCCAGTTCTTTCTTCGTGTGTTGTGGCTTTAAATTTAGTGGAGAGTTGTTAATTATTAAGGATATTGATGATCTATTTTCATTCTGCTTGTGAAAACTACGTCAACATAATACAGAGAGTATTATTAAGATATGACTGCATCATGTATTGAATTAGTGAAAATAAAGTAACCTCCGAATAACAAAAAGTAGCCCTTGGAAAAAGATTTTTTGATCCCTGCTTCACATCTAGCTTATCCACTGGGGCTAATTTTACCAAGCCTCTTTCAATCCTACTCATCATTTGGACTTGCAATTAATCAGCAATCACCAGCTTTCTCCATATCTCCCTCCAGAATGTCCTTGATAACAAGGTGCTCATCATGGATAACTGCATCAACACTTCACCTTGATTAAAAAAAATTTAAAGGTTCCTTATCTGCCTACATCTTCCATCACTGGCAGTGCTCAGACCATCTGCGGAACTGGTGTAGCTATCACTGAACAGGAGCCAAACTGGACTTGGAACGTTAACTCGGTTTCTCTTTGCTCCCAGGTCTGCTGAGTGTCTCCAGCATTGTTTGTATACCAAAACACATCTTGGTCTGCATTTCTACTTCCTTTCCAACAGTACCTCCTACCAATCACTTTATTTTGTTCCGCTCCACCAGTGTCTCCTTTAAAATCTTGTTCTCTACCAATTATCGAAGTACCATTCCTAGCTTTGCACAGAGATACCTTCACTGCTTTCTCCCTCAGCATCTAAACTTCATATACTTATTGATTTTAACCTGTATCTCTTACTCACCTTGCTTTCTCTCAAATTTACTGTTTTTCTTCAACTACATCTATTATCACAGCATCCCCCGAAATCTTGCAGTCTCATCTTGTTCTTCTAATTCTTTTTGTCTCCATTACAAAGCCATCTCTGATTATTTATTATTATCCCTCTGAATTCTCATTCCACTCCCAAACTAAGTTCATTTTGCCTGCACCCTATTCTTGCAGAAAAAGAAACTCTATCACGAGTCACCAATATTGGCCCTTTATTTGATACTTCTATAGTTACTAATACCGGTCAATTACAATCTCACCTCCACAAATGATATCCTTGTTCATATCTTCCACACTCCATATACTTAACTGACCCCAAAATTTTGTCACCCATATGCTAACTTGTAATCTACCATTCACTCGTCAGCCCTGTTGCTCACTGACTTACATCATTTCCCAGACTCCTCCATTTCCTTGACTTTAAAATGCTCATCCTCATGTTCAAGTCACTCTATGGGTCATTTCTGCCCATTTTTGTAGTTTCTCCCTGCTCTTCCAATAATGAAATTGTGCACTCCCCTCCCCTTCATCATACAATTGGTGGCTGTACTTTCATCTGCCGTGGTCCAAAGCGGTGGAATAATATTTCCTAAACCTACCTCATCCTTCCTTGATGATGCTCCTTAATACCTACTTCTCAACCAAGCTTTTGGTCACCTGTCCTAATGTTTCCTTCTTTAGCTTGCTGTTAAATTTTGTTTGTTAAACGTGTTCCACAAATGTAATTTGTTGCTGTTGTCATTACTTACGGGACACTGCCAGTGAAGTTGATTCCTGCTAAGTGCTCAGATTCTGTAATAGTTTCTCCAAACAGTGGCCCGTCACTTGGAACAAACTGGATAACATTTGGTGGCAGTCCAGATTCAAGAAGTATTTCGTACACAGTGTAGCTTGCAGCCATAGCTGTATCACTGGGTTTCCAGACCACCACGTTACCCTAGAATGACAACACAACAGTTTGCTATCCTGTTAGAAATTCACTAATTCTAAAACTACAATACATAATGGAAATAATATAACATTCTCACAAAATATTTTAACAGGAAAGTGCAGTTCAGAAGAAGCAAACAACATGTCTAAGGTGCTGGTGAAGACTTTGCTTCAGTCATCACAAAAGAAAAGGATTCAAACAATGTCATGGTAAAGCAAGAGACAGTAGAGAAATTGAATAGGATTAAGATATGTCAGGAATTAAAAGGTTGGCATGCTTGAAGTAGCCACATAGTATGGATGGCTTGCATTATAACTGACTGAGGGAACCAAGGACAGAAATTATGGGTAGAAAGAACCGCAGATGCTGGAGTCAGAGTGGATACAGTGTGGACTGGAGGAACACAGCAGGTCAGACAACATCAGTCTTGATGAAGGGTCTAGAAATCGTGGATGTTTGATACAATCTCTAAATCCTCTTTGAATATGGAAATGGTGAGGATTAGAGAATTCCAAATATCGCACACTTGTTCTGAAATGCAGGAGCAAGACTAGTCCAACAACTACAAACCAGTCAGCCCAACATCAGTGGCGGGAAAACTTTTAGACAATGTAACCAGGAAAAAATGTTAATTTGCATTTGGAAGAACATAGGTTAACAAATGATTTGTTAAAGGCAAATCAAGTCTGCCAAACTGGATTCAAGTTATTTCATGAAGTAATGCAGCTAATTTGTATACAGACTTTCAAGAGGCATTTGATAAAAGGACCATACTATAACGGACTACACAGCAAAAATAATGCCTATGGGATTAAAAAGGGGCCATGGCAGTATGAATGTGAAATTGGCTAAGATAGAAAGTGAAAATGGTGGTGAATGATTGATCTTCAAACTGGAGGCAAGTATACCATGATGTCTCCTTGAGGTCAGTATTGGGACCACACTGTTTTCCAGGCAATATTTCCTCTAAACTGCGCAGCTATGCGCATACACAGCCACTCTGAGGGCCTTTGCATGGCAATCAGCGTATCGATGTCATTTGCAGCATTGACTTCCTGTTCCATAAGTAACTGCTGTGTACAAATCTCAAAGGTCCAAGCAGAAGGAAGAAAATTAGCAGGAACACTGGTTCCACATGAGTGGAATTGCTTTCATCTGGTTCCACACTTACCTAGTAATTACAGAATCACCTGTAATGGCTTCTCTTTCAGCTCCTCTAGACCATTATCCCTGGAGTCACCATGAATCTTTCCCTGGTTCCTTACTTATTTAAATACTGCCCTTTCATGACATCATCTGAAAGCACTGTATTTCACATGTACCCTGATGATACCCAGCTCAACCCAACACCACCTCTCTTGACTTTTCCAGTCTGTTTAATCCATATCCAGTATTGACTAAGCAGAAAGTGCAATCGATGAAATATTGGAATGAATCTTTAGCCCCAGCTACAAACTTCAACTCTCTCCTTGATATTGTTAGAGATTGAGCCACATGTTCACAAGGTCAGTGCCCTATTTTGACTCTGAACAGAGTTACTGATCCTCTCTAACAACCTTATTTCATCTGCATACAATCATTGATGGCTAGGTCTTCAGCTGCCGAGGACACAGCTGTTGGAATTCCCTCCCTAAGCATCTCCAACTGCCCCGCTTCAAAACCTACTTATTCTCACTAAGATTTGTTCATCTATCCCAACGTCTCATGACTTTGTATCAAGTTTGTTTGAGCTAGACTCCTGTGAAAAGCCTTGAGGTTTTTTTTATAGTCTTAATGTTGCATAATAAAGTGAAGTTATTACAATCAAATTCCACAACATTACAGCATACTATGAAAATGCACATAGAGTCATAGAGCTATGCAGCATGGAAACAGACCCTTTAGTCCAACTCATCCATGCCAACCAGATATCCTAAATTAATCTAATCCCATTTACCAGCATTAAGCCCATATCCCTCTAAATCATTCCTATTCGTATACCTATCCAGATGCCTTCTAACGGTTGGAATTGTACCAGCCTCCACCACTTCCTCTGGCAGCTCATTCCATACATGCACCACCCTCTGTGTGAAAAAGCTGCCCCCTTTAAATCTTTCCCCTCTCACCTTAAACCAATGCCCTCTAGTTTTGGATTCACCCACTCCATGGAAAGGCTATTCACCCTACCCATGTCTCTCATGATTTTATAGACCTTTTTAAGGTCACCCCTCAAGCCTCCGACACTCCAGGTAAAATAGCCCCAGCCTATTCAGCCTCTCCATATAGCTCAAACCCTCCAACTCTGGCAACATCCTTGTAAATCTTTTCTGAACCCTTTCAAGTTTCACAACACCATTCCATAGCAGGGAGACCAGAATTGCAGACAGTATTCCAAAAGTGGCCTAACAAGTGTCCCGTACAGCTGCAACATGACCTCTATATTCAATGCACTGACCAATAAAGGCAAACATACCAAACACCTTCTTCACTATCCTGTTTACCTGGGACTCCACTTTCAAATAACAAAGAACCTGCACTCCAAGGTCTCTTTCTTCAGCAACATTCCCCAGGATCTTATCATTAAGTGCATAAATCCTGCCCTGATTTGCCATTCCACAATGCAGCACCTCAAATTTATATAAATTAAACTCTATTGCCCACTTCTCTGCACATTGGCCCACCTGATCAAGGTCCCATTGTACGCTGAGGTAACCTTCTTCACTGTCCACTACACCTCCATTTTTGGTGTCATCTGCAAACTTACTAACCATATGCCCTATGTTCACATCCAAATCATTTCTATAAATGACACAAAGCAGTGGACCCAGCACCAATCCTTGTAGCACACAGGCCTCCAGTCTGAAAAGCAACCCTCCACCACCACCCTCTGTCTTCTACCTTTGAGCCAGTTCTGTATCCAAATGGCTACTTCTCCTTGTATTCCATATGATCTAACCTTGCTAAACAGTTTACCATGAGAAACCTTGTTGAACGCCTTACTGAAGCAGAACTGAACAATGGCCATTTTACGGACAAAAACATTCCATGCAACTGTTTTCAACTGTGCTCTTATTTTAAAACTCCAAACATATAAAACAAATGAAAATATCAGCAGGGTATTTTGGCAAAATATTTTGAAAATTAAAGATATTATTCAGCTCAATTTTATGAGGAATAAAACAAAGAATTTTTTATTTGCCTCTAATATGAATAAATGGTACACAGTCAAAGTGATTCATACTAACCCTGGAGCATATTTTTCTGATGTTTTTTAAAAATGGGCATCAGTTCATTTGTTTTCATTCAAGGGATGTGGGCTTTTTTGACTAAGCCAGGATTTATTGCCCATTCCTAATTGCCCTCGAGAGGGCGGTGGTTGTTTGCCTCCTTGGAAAGCTGCAGTCCACCTGGCGTAGGTGCAGCCACAATGCTGTTAGAAAGGGAGTTCCAAAATTTTGACCCAGCTTGAAACCATTCTAACTTTTACATACAAGGTAAATGAAGAACAAAATTGCTATACTCTAAACTAACCAGTGAAAAACACCTTCAATACAGCAATATGGCCTGTCTATACCAGCCATTCTTGAGGCCTGTAAATTAGCACCTGAAGTTATTGCTGATTTTTGCGTTCTGAAGGAGGATCACTGGGCAGGAAACTTTAACTCTGCTTTTTCTCCATAGATGCTGCCAAACCTGCAGAGTTTCTCCAGCAATTTCTGATTTTGTTGCAGATTTCCAGCATCTGCAGTTCTTTGTTTTACTTCACTGGTTTTGGGTAATTCTCTGTCATGTTATCGTATCATTAGCAAGTTAATAACTTTCCATCTCAATAATTTAAACAGAATTCAATTCTATCTTTTTCTTTCTGTTGTGATAAACATGGAAATATAAAAAATTGGAGGAGGTAGCCACTCAGCCCTTCCAGTCTGCTCCACCATTTAATATGATCGTGGCTGATCATCCAACTCAGTACCTGTACCTGCTTTCTCCTCATACCCTTGATTCCCTTATCCCAAAGAACTATATCTAACTCCTTGAAAACATTCAATGTTTCTGCCTCCATCACTTTCTGTGGAAGAGAATTCCACAGGCTCACCACTCTCACGGTGAAGAAATTTCTCCTCACGTCAGTCCTAAAAGGCCTACCCCAGATCCTTAAGCTGCAATTCCTTGGTTCTGAATTCCTGGTCATTGGGAACGTACTTCCTACGTTTACCCTGTCTAGTCCTGTTGGAATTATTTATTGTTTCTAAGATCTCCCCTCAGTATTCACTTTTAATCCATTTAACTCTGCAGCATTCAGCAAAGGATTCACCTCCTTTGTCATTATTTTATCTAACTGGTTATGCATGCCACAAGGAATTCATTTGTTCAACACCTTCGTCCTCAGTAACACCTTTAGTTATTAATTCCCAGCTGAAAATAGATTCACACATTTACAGATAAGGGAACCTTAAATAACATTACCAACTTGGAAAGTAATCAATTCAAAAGAATCCCCTTGGTTCAGTTAGGTCACATTACTGCTAGTCAGTCAGTTTTTAAAAAAAAAATCCATTCATTCATTTTTATAGGGCTGAAACTCTGGAAACTTTTAGATTCTGTCCACAACAGGAGATTCATACACTGAGCCTGACCTACTTTGTAGCCAACTCATTTTTGAAAATAAATTTGCTATCCTGTTTCTCACCATCAGTGCTGGAGCTCCTGCCAGATTTCCACCTATTGCAGTGAAGTTAAATGGAGAAACAGCTGCTACAAAGCCCTGAAAGAAGTAAAACAAAAGTACTGGTAAAAGCACAGTATCAGAACTCAATGCATAAAATACTATTTTAGATAATTTACTGCAATACATGAGCCAAACTCAGCTTGGCACTCAGGGATGATCTTCACCATTACCACACATGCAGCAAATTAACAAAGCAGGCCATTCATCCTTAATAGTACTTAATGCCTTTTCATGTCTAATGAAATCAAAAGAAATTAAAATTAAGAGGGTCTATGAATAGGTAGGCGACATGATCTGCCTACAAGAGATGTAGGTGAATATCACTCCCTCACTAAGTCTCTAATTTTCCTCAACTGCCTTGGTTTGTTTTTAAAAGCATCACTTTCAGCACCAGTCTCTCCCTTTACAACAAACTCACCTCTAGACTCCGGTACAGTGTACTGTTGGTGCTGGGTGGTTCACTGATTGGCTGTTCATGTTGAAGTTCCACAGCATGTTTAGCATTGAATCTGAAGAAGTCTATTAGTTCTGCAGCTGCATCAATCTCTGCTTGAATTACTGTTTTACCCTGATGAACAAAAAAAGGCCCATTATTAGCATTAACAGCGAGTATCAGAAATTTGTAAGGATCATTGCCTTTCACACCAGGTGTTAAAATGAGGTTCTGTCTGCCTTTAAATGAATGCACTATTTTGAAGAACAAGATCAGCCATGGAGTTCCTTCCAGTGTTTTGGTTAATGTTTCTCCTTTAACCAACATAATAAAATTGATCATGTCATCAAGGCCTGCTGTACAAAATTGCTGTACAAAATTTGGCCGATGCATTTGCTACAAAACAACACATTACTGTGAGCTACGTGGATGTCCAAGTGTCAGGTTGTTTGTAATTTGGTACCACGTACACATGCAATGCTAAGACATTAGGTAACACTCCTTTAAATGCACTATAAAAGTTAATGACTGCTTTTTTAAAATGAATTCCTAAACACAAAGTAAATAGAATAAGTGGTCGGGAGACACTGACACAGTAACATTACTAGATGTGAGTACTTCAAAGCAAGCTGGAAGTTATCAGCAAGAACATGAGATAGTGCAGTGAATAGGAACCAAGGTCAACCAAAGCCTCACATGAATGGTGTGCAAATAAAGGAAGGACCAGTATCTCTATAAAAGGTTGGGATTATGGCCCATTAGCTATCAAGGACACCACATATTTAAAACCTGCTTCTTTGTATTGGAACTGCTACACTGATAACAGCCCAGTGAAAATAAGCAAATGTCAAGGGTTCAGATGATAGAAACTTCAGCAAACAAGAACACTGCATGCACAATATTTCTTTAGTTGAATAATTGAGTTTTGGATATAAGCCAGTGATCAGTTCAGTAAGGCTCAATAGTTTTTGAATTATAGCAAAGATACAAGAGTGAGTCCAAACAGAAAATCAGGATACTTTGGATGACTTCAGGAAAATTCAGGAAAAACACAGGAAATTAGCCAGGGGTAAAAGACGAAGGGGATGGATTTTTGGTAATAAATTAACTTTCACTCTTTGGCTAAAACAAAATCAATCATTGCTATGACCAGTGCAAAGTCAGTTCCAAACCATTAAAAGACTCTAAATGGAGAGACTTAGACTCCACAAAAATGTATTTCTTACACTACATTTCACAAAGTACTGAAGTGGCCATAAACCACTTTGGAACATGTCAAGATTGTAATGTTTGTGTCACACAATTACCAGGCAATGACCGTTTCAAACGAGAGATATTGTAGCCATTGTCCTTTGGCGTTTAATAGCTTTATCATTCCTCACTATTAACATTCTGGGGTTTGCCATTGAAGAGAAACTGAACTGGACCAACCATATAATTATTGTGGACACAAGCAGGTCAGAGGTTAGGAATTCTGCACCAAGTAACTCACTTCCTGTCTCCCACAATCTGCCCACCATCTACAAGGCATAAGTCAAGAGTGTGATGGAATTCTCCCCACCTGGATGCAGTTGCAAAAATACTCAAGAAGCTCAACACCTCCCAGGCAAAATAGGCAGCTTGATAAGCACTGCCACCAACCCCACCACCTTCAACTTTGCTCTTTTCTCTACTGATGCACAGGGTCAGTATTTCAAACCATCTACAAAATATACTGCAGCACTCACACAGGCTCTTTGAGTCTGCACCAACCCTTTGAACAGCATCCCATCTGGACCCATACCAGATCTGCATAGCCCTACATTTACTGTGGCTATCCCACCTAGCCTATGCATCCCTAAACACAATGGACAACTTAGCATGGCCAATCTATCTAGCCTGCACATCTTTGCACTTTGGAGGGAAACCAGAGCACCTGGAGGAGACCCACACAGACAAGGGGAGAACATGCAAACTCCACACAGATAGTCACCCAAGGCTGGAAATGAACCCAGGTCCCCGGTGATGTGAGGCAGCATTGCTAACCACTCGGCCACTGTGCCGCCCAACTTCTAGAGTCACCAAAAAAGTTAATGATTTAATCAAAGTATTCAAAGCCCCCCAATTTACCTATCTGTTGGAATAAAGTTAACAAACTGATGGCTTCCTGTACTTAACAATCATTACTATTTATTACAAGTAAATTGTAATCTCAGTAAACAGCAATGAATTATCAACATACAGCTAACAGTGAAAAATTCTAAACCCTTTTTAAAACCTTTAAACACACACACACCAATGTTAACATTGGTTTTATGGATGGGGAGAAATAAAAACTGAGAACCACAGTTCAATAGCATCAGTCCACAGGGTTCATTAAAATGGTCCTTTTGCTCGACAGGACTTTCTGTTCTTTGACCACTTTTCTCCAGGTTCTTTCACCCATTTTGCTCTGTTCTTCCTGCAATTGGTACACTACTTACCAAGTTTCTCAGTTACTGATTTGAAGCCAACAGCTAACATCACCTGCTGGAGAAAATGAAAACCAGAAGAACTGCAGATGCTGCAAATCAGAAACAAAAACAGAAGTTGCTGGAACAGCTTAGCATGTCTAGCAGCATCTGTGAAGAGAAATCAGAGTTAACATTTCAGGTCTGGTGACCCTTCCTCACAACTCACTGGACCCAAAACGTTAACTCTGATTTCTCTTCACAGATGCTGCCAGACCTGCAGAGCTTTTCCAGCAACTTCTGTTTTGGTGTAGAAAATGACTGGTTTTCTTCAGGCTCCAGGTACTTTTTTTACTGCATAGAGACATACATCACCTGCCCTTCTAACAGTCCAAAGGCTTCACAATGAATCATTCATACCCACAAGCTGTTCAGCTGCCCAGGAACCAATCAGGGACTTGTTGACAGGCTGATGACACTTGCATCCATGACTGGTCATAACCAAACTAACCAATTAGCTACTTCATGGCAGGCAAAAATCACACATTGCACACACACGCCAGTGTCATGCTGTCTACAAACATCTCCCTCTACTACTGAGCAAAGCAGCAGTGTAAACATCACACACAGAGTCTGTCACTAATTTTTATTTTTTTAAAAACATAGCAATTCCTTCCTTAGTCCATTGGTTTCAAAAAAGGTCCTTTTCCATTTTAGTCCACATCAAAAATATAGAAAATAAAATGATACCTTCTTTACCGTACTTACACCCCCAAGGACTGCAGCAATTCAAAAGATGTTATTTAAAATATTGTTCTTTATTTCTTCACTAATGTGGGTATAATCTACATACCTGTCCAATCATAGTTCTGGATAAAAGTTCTGCACGTCTTGACCCACTAATCAAGTCAGCAGCTTTAAAGAATATTTGTGCTCGATCTGCGACTGGTTTGAGATCCCATTCCCGGTGCGCAGACAGTGCTGCGTTAATCGCTTTATTAATTAAATCCTGTTAAAAGAAGAAACTGGTTTCTATCTCAAAACGGAAAACAATTAGGTGAAACACAAACATCTAACTTCATTATTGCGTGAATTTATTTTAAGCAAAATGGAAATCAGTTGCACACAAAAACAATTCCTGCTTTCTCAATTCAGAAAAATTATTTTACTGACATGCAATGGTATTTTCTTTTCACAAAAAAGTCTCTGGGAGGGTAGTTCTCCTTCACCTCTGCACTGCAAGTGTCAGGTTGGATTATAGACTCAAATCTACAAATTCTGACTCAACAGACAAAACTGCTATTCAAAAACCAAGGAACTACAGATGCTGGCAATCAGAAACAAAAACAAGAATTAGTGGAAAAACTCATCAGGTCTAGCAGCATTGGGAGAGAAAGCAGAGTTAACGTTTTGGGTCCAGTGACCCTTCTTTAGAACTGCTACTTACTGATTTGAATCCTTTTAATACAGTAACATAAAAATTAAGATTGATATTTTTAAAACCAGTGTCCTTCATATTGTTGAGTTAGTCTCCACTTGTCAGCTTACCTTGTCAGCATAGCAGAACTTGGCCACTTTGTGTGAATGACTGAATGGCTGAAATAAAGAAAATACAGTAATCTTAATTCACACTGTGATCATGTCCTTTGCAAGAATACAAAATAGACTGTTCTTACAACATTTAGACACCGAACGAGTCCAGTCAAAGCAATCAGAAAAACCACTGATTCATTTTAAGAAAAAAAATTAAAGAAATGTGGAATTTAATCCCCAAGCACGGGGCAAAGATCATTCTTACAGACCCATCAATACTAGTATTTATTATTCACAGCCTACCCCACTATATTCCCTCTATGCTAGCAGCATATTGGAAACCAAATTTGACTGTAAATCACTACCACAGAAAGTCTGCTTTTGGGCTCCATTCCAGATTTTTTTTCAGGGTTTATGCCAATAGCCTTTAACTCTTATGAGATATCCAGAAAGCAGTGGGACCCAGTTTACTTTTTTTGCCATGAAGAGAAATCGCTGATGAACTGTTAATAGGCTGTGTACTAACAAGGAGAGATTTACACATTTGGTTCTCATTTTACCATGCTGCTGGTAAGTATGTAGGCCAAAAATGAGAAATAAATTAGCACATAGGGGAAAAACCTACTAACCTGCTTTAACCACACACTAGATGCAACATATTAAACTGTTGGACAAAGCAGCATTACTCTGGAACCTATACTACATAATGAAGGTGACTTATTTCAATTATTAATTTAGAATACTGGACATGTAGCCATAACTTGAACCAAAGATACAGGCTGCAGCACAATAAAATGCTGCATTTGCAAAAAAGCACAAATTGCTTGACTGGAGTCACCTCTCATGCTATGAGAGGTTACAGGACCCAGTTTGAGAATGTAATAAAGCTATTGGATTTTAACACAGTCAGACTCTAAGGCAACTTGCCTCAGAAGCAACAGCCTTTACTTTCGCTTTCTCAGAATCCCCTCTTAAAGTCTGAGAGTTGAAAACCCATTGGAAGACCTCATCATCACAAGTGGAGTACTCCCAAAGGAGAATTCAAAACCTACATCACTACATTCAGAAAAGAAAATTCAGACAGCAATAATCGATCGAGGAAGACACCCAGTGTCAACAGTTTGTTTTCAAATTCAGTTGAACTACAGGCCTACATTTGGATACTTCTTTTTCCCTCCAAGATTAACTGCTACTCAGCCAAAGTATTTTTAAGATTACACTCTGCAGAAATTTAATTTCCCCACGTAACTTGGATTTTGTGTATGTTTAAATCTTCAAAGAATGTAGCTGTATATGTTTGTACAGTTTAAAACTCATTTTAAAATAATCTGTAGGTGTTTGTTTGCAATAAACAATAATACTTCACAAATCTGGACAACTCTCTGATGACTGATATCAGGTCTGATTATAGAATTGGCAATCTCACCTTGTTAAAATTTAAACATGTGGAAGTTATAGGAGAGAGAAGGAAACATTATACACGTCCTAACTTGGTCATAAGTTATACACTGTTTTCAATATACTTGGGAAAAAAAAATAACAGGGTACTGTAGCAAACCTAACCATTTCTTTGTACTAATTTATGCTTGAGCTCAACAGCCCCACCAAAATGTGCCATGTGCTATTATGTAATTTATTAGCTACCTGGACTTCTCAAAAAATGTTGTATTTGGACATTCAAGACTCTCCACTCATTTGTACTCTTCAAGGTCTTTCCATTGAGAGAGTATCCTGTTCCTTCCTTCTACTCCCAAAATACATTACCTCACATTCTTCAGCATTAAATTACATCTGCCACCTGTCTGCCCATTTCATGAACCCGTGCCCTTTTCAACTTCTCTTTACCAATCTTCTCTACTTTTGCTTCATCAGCAAGTTTTGAAACATGTTCCCATATCTAAGCCTGAGGAATTAATGCTTCAAGAATAAATATGAATCTATTTCAGTAGCGACCTTAGAAATATATCACTTCCAGGTTATGTCCAATCTGAGCATTATTTACTAATCTTAGCTCTTTGTTCACAATTAATCAACTAATTTTTATCCACACTGCTTATATTCTTTACACTGTGCCATTTAAAAAAATGTAATAAACCTCTGAAAATCCATACACACCACAACTACTGGATTCCTTTTGTCTATCTAAATAACCATTTCTTCAGAGATTATAATTTCAACAGTAGACCTGGAGTATTACTTCTGTTATATAGTATTTGTCCAGCATTTTTCTTACCATAAAAGAACTTAAATAATTAGATTAGTTACTTTATAATCTGCACTAATTTGGTGTTTATTTTCCATTTTTTCAGAGATTGAAGATATAGTGGGAACCCTAACTCCAGGAAAGAATTCATTACCTTTATTAGAGCCAAAGTATTATAGCACAGAGCACCACATTATTAAATGATTCCAATTTCAGATCACACAGGTCATGCTTCATTTATTGAAACTAATGTTAAGAGTGTATTGGAAAACTGTAAAAGATTTTAAGCAGTAACGTGCACTTTTCCAAGGATCGGGATCAGATGTCAGTACAGATGATGACAATCACTCTCAATTTTTTCTTAGACAGTGAGTTACTAGTCATGTTCTGTTTTCTTTTTATATTTGTTCAAGGAATGTTGGCAGTGGTTAGGACAGGATTAATACCCATCCTAATGCTCTCAAGAAGAGCTGTCCTTTGTGTGTAGGTGCACCCATTGTGCTGTTAGGAATGGAAGGATTTTAACTCAGCAACAGGAAAGATATAGTTTCAGATGAGAACGATTTGTGGAGTGGAGAGCAATTACTGGTGATCCCATAAATCTGCTGCTCTTGTTCTTCTAAGTGATACAAGTTGTGGGTTTTGAAAGTGCTGTCAAAGGGGGTTGGGTGAGTTGATGCATAGCATCTTACAGACGGTACACACTATTGTTATTGTGTGTCAGTGACGTAATGAATGTTTAAGGTGGTGGACAGGGTACCACTCAAGCCAGTTGCTTTGTCAAGTTTTTTTTTTGTGTTGTTGGAGTCCCACCCAAACAGACAAGTAGAAAAATATTCATCTAACTCTTGACTTGGGCCTTGTAGACAGTGGACAAACACTGGGAAGTCAGGAGGTGAGCTGCACACTTCAGAATTCTCACTCTCTGACCTGATCTCATACCCATGTATATGGCTGCTCAAGTTTAGTTTCTGTTCAATATTGATAGTGGAGGCAATTCAGCAACGGTAATATCCCAAGTACTACAACAGTTCAGGAAGGCAGCTCACTACCACCTTTGCCAGAGCAATTAGGAATGGAAAATAATACTAGACCAGCAGCAAAACTTGATTCCTTTGAGCAAATGAACATTTGGAAAACAAAGAATAGGCAAACAATAATACATTTATAAGTTAAGTGCACGGTATTCAAAGATTAAACAGCTCAAATTTTCACAGAACAACAGAAATAGTCTAGTGGAAATTGCTGTAAAGAAGCAAGGTCCACAATAGACTTCAATAAGTCGTTTACCAACAATCATCCGAATAAATGTTTAATTTGCATCCAACAGAAAGTCAGTACTTTGATACTTACACATAGTTGATATTGTATATCATTGGTCCAGACAGGTTCTCCACCAACCACACAGGGGACCTCAAGTGTTTGCCCCTTCTGCTCATTCAGAGCCTGACAAAAAGATAATCTCTTTAAAGTTAAAAGGACAGAGTTGGGATAGCATACATCCTATACACAAATGAGATACAGCTGCACTTCAAACAAAACAAAAAACACCTCATCAAATCTACAACTGGCCCCAGTTGATTCACTGTTCACCAGTTCAACTTATGTTCTAATGCCTAACTACAGTACTGTACTTCTCCTCCATCCACCACCAATGGGTAGGATCCACCATCAGCATGGCTCTGCACCCTGGAATTTGCTTTTAAAACCCTTGCTTTACACCTCACCCTCCTTCAAACTATTTCCTCAATCACCTCTCCTAACGTTTGCTTATAGTCTGGGGAAGGACGTTGGTCAACAAGGACAGAGTGATGGATGAACATTTCTTACTTCAGAACAGGATATTTACATCAGCATTAAACAAGTTTGAGTTCGTGAAGAGCACAGATGGAAGACAAGCAAGCATAGCATCAGTATTTGACTTTAGAGGAAACACAGACACCTATAAGTTTCTGCAATGGAAGCAATGATAGCAATGATATAACAGCACAGAATGTTGTGAATGTGTTAGTGGTTTTGATGAATCTGTTACTCGCCTAAATTGGGGTGCACATGAAGACTGGGATTAAATTATGCTGTTGCCGACCTGGAAAAAGTTAGTCATAAGTTCACAACGCAGTTATTTGAATGTGGGTTAGCTCACTCTATAAATAGAAGGTTGTTATTCTTTTCTTTCCATGTGATCAGGCTAGTTACATTACTTTGCTCCTCCTCCTTTCACTGGTTGAATGTAATGAGGAGTTCAGGAGAAGGCAACGTCTCAATCAATCGTAATGTAAACATACAATGGCTATTTCAACAGAAAGTTATCCTAATAAGAATTTAATACCAAGTGTTTCTAACTCCACGGATAGAAATCAGATTGTTAGGGGCTCTTCTGTTATAAACGGAACTTGTGAATTTTGCAGGAACTGTTCTGTGCATATGAGTGATTGGATTTATGGCTGTCATTGAATTAGTTTCTATGAAAGGTAATAAATACCTTGAAGAAATACTTATAAACTTGTAACTGTGAACATCTAATCCCTTTAAGTTTCACTCAATACTGAATACCGCCAGCAAATAAATTCATAATGTTCAAGAGGTCAGGGGATTTCTATGGCAGTCAGCTTGGAACCTGCAGCTTTTTAACAAAGTCAGCAAATTTGTTGCGGCTCTAACCATAAGAATAATGCAGTTATGGGTAACTCCCTGTCAATATTCCATGATAAATAGTTACTCGTGCAATTCTTCACAAAGCGGAAAGGGTGTTCTTATTAGGAGCAGTTGGTTAGTCATCTGGTTATCAGGAGAAGATTGTGGTTCACGTCTTTACATTAATGTTTCATTTGGAAGAACTGTAGAAATTACAATGAGACCATTAGTTTTTAATCTATTCATTGTTAAGCCATCACCATGCTTAGAATTATATGTAGTATTTCAGAAGACCAGTTTCAACCCCAAAGCCATACAGAAATCAGAGTGCTCATATAAGATGATGAAGGCTCAGTATTGTTCCCATAGAAAGAATAGGATCTAAAATAACTACCTTTTGGGTGTCATGAGGTACAGTTGATGAATGAAACAGAAAGCATTAGTGCTAATAGCTGATTAAAAAGTAACACACTTGCCTATATAATGGAATGAGGTGCAAGACAGCATAATACGATTTATGTATAAAGAAGTGTGCAACAACCCTTAAATACTTAAAACAGACTACACATCTTCCAAGTTTCCAGGGCTGCTGATCATACCAGAAACAATGAAAACAAAATTAAAGGTTTTCCTTTCCTTTCCATGTAGACAATTATTTGAGAAAATGTGCAAGGAAAGTACAAGGGAGTGGAACTAAAGTCAGTTCAGACCTAACAGATCAAATAATATTTTAGAATAATAAGTTGTAGTAGGTTACGATCCCAAGCACTGCTAACTGGAATGATCTTATTTGGATAATTCTGCTCATCTTTTTATTGGAAGCTATGGGATTGGAGCATCTTGAACAATTTTTAATCTTGTTTAAATTTATTTGAAAAATAAGAATAAAATCATAAAGTTTAAAGGTGGGTAAAGTATCAATTTGTAAACAAAACAGAAATTGATATAATCTGATATAGTAGTGTGTCATGTGGGTTGTGGCACTGGAACTACCAACCTGGGATGGCAGATTGTGAAAATGAATTTAGCTTGTGGGCCAGCAGAGAACAAGAAATAAGCAACTAATGGTTTTGCCACTGGTGACTTCAGTTCCACTGCACATAGTACCCTACAAATGCTCTCAGAAGTGGCCACTCGTTACAATATTCAAAGGTAAGAAAGAAAACTTGATTGAATTTTTCAAGGGGGTGACCAGGTGTGTACATAAGAATAGTGCAGTTGACATGGAGGAGAAGACGACTGAGCACTTGTAGGAAGTGCAGTCCCAGCATGGCTAAGCACTTAAGAAAGACTGCAGTGGTTGAACTTTAAACTCAGAGTCAAAAATTTCTTTACTTTTTGACTTAATACCAAGAAGGATTGTAATGTTTAACTTCTAACTTTGTTCCTTATTTCTTCATACCTTGTTCTTAAGTTTTTGGACCTAAGTATTTGTATCTAACGTGTGTAATGACACTGAAAACTTCCACTGTACTCCTGTAATTGAGTACACATAATAATAAAGTGTAAATCTAAAACATGGTTTACATGGAATTCAGCAAAGCCTTTGACAGGGTTCCACAAGAGAGACTGATAAAGGTAAAAGCACATGGGATCCAGGGTAACCAGGCAAGCTGGATCCAAAATTGGCTTTGTGGTAGGAGTCAAAGAGTGGGTGTAGAAGGTTGTGTGACTGGAAGCCTGTATTCAGTGGCAGGCCACAGGGATCAGTGCTGAGTCCCTCATTGTTCATGATATGAATAAACAAAATAGGAGAAAATGTGAGGGGTTGGTGATAAGTAAGTTTGCAGATGACATGAAAATTGGCTGGCAACTGATAGCGAGAAAGAAGGTCTTAGGTTACAGGAGAATATAGATGGATTGATCAGATAGGCAGATGAAATTTAACTCTGATAAATGTGAGGTGATGCACTTTGGAAGAATAAACAAGGCAAGTGAGTACTCAATGAATGTCAGGAAAGCAGAAAGCTCAGAGGAACAGAAGTATCTTGGGGTTCTTGTCCACAGATTCCTGAACGTGGCAGGACAGATTAATAGGGTAGTTAAGGCGGCTTACAGGACACTTGCCTTTATCAATTGTGGCATGGATTACAAGAGCATGGTTATACTGGAGCTGTACATGACTTTAGTTAGGCCATAGCTAGAGTACAATGTGTAGTTCTGGTCACCATACTGTAGAAAAGATGTGATTGTACTGGAGGCAGTGCAAAGGAGATTCACCAGGATGTTCTGGGATGGAGCAGATTAGCTGTGGAGACAGCCTGGATAAGCTCAGGTTGCTTTCTTTAAAGCAGAGAGGCTGAAAGAGAACCTTAGACTATGAGGAGCATGGACAGGATGGATAGAAGACAGCTGTACCCCTTAGCTGAATGGTCAATAACACAGGGGCTTAATTTTAAGGTGAAAGGCAGGAGATTTAGAAGGGAATTAATGCAAGTTCTGTTTCACGAGAGGTTTTGGGAGTATGGAATGCACTGCCTGGGAGGATAGTTCAAGCAGGAAACCTCACAACCTTTAAAATATACCTGGATGAGCACTCGAAACGTTATAACATTCAAGGCTATGGGCCAAGTCCTGAAGGCAGGACTAGTGTAGATTTAGAGTAGTATTTTTGTTGGTGTCGATTCGACGAGCCAAAGGGCCTCTTCTGCACTGTATGATTTTAAAATTAATGATGACGGGTGCACAGAATGCAGCATCTCAAGAAGCCAGCCCATCACCATCTATTTAGTGAAAAGAAGGGAAGGTTAAAAAATACAGCTTTTGCAGCCACACCTAAATTCCTCAAATTAAACATTCTAGTGGAGAGATATATAAAAATGCATTGCTAGCAATGTTGCAATAAACTTTACAGGACTGGTGACATGTATTCAGCCTTTTTGGATCAAAGAAGGTTCACAGGTCTGCATAAACCCTTGCGCAGTTTACTGCTTTGATCATCTGGAATATCGATGCAACTTTGTATTTCTTGTTAGACTTTGATTCATTCGTGTTTTGCAAAGTTATACAAGGTTTTTCTTCAATAAAGCTCATGACCAGACCTCCTGTAGGGCTTGTCGTTCCGAACTTCCTTGTTTGAATTCGAGGACTGGCTCATTCTTCACAGCTGTTGCAGTGTGTTGTAACCGGAATCTGCAACAAATGATAGGACATACCACAGGATAATTATTAACATATAAACAAGTCAGAAGCCATCATCTTTGGTCACCACATGAACTTCTGACTCCCACCACAATCCACATATAAATATTGGAAATTTAGACATGAACATATGAGGTTTCATTAGTAAGATCACAAATGACATGATAGAGATCACAGATGACATGATAATTCAAGGTGCAGTAAATAGCAAGGAGCAAAGCCTTAGACAGGCTTGCCAGATAGGCAGAACAACGGCAAATGGAATTTAATCCTGAAAAGTGTGAGGCAATGAGTTTTGGGAGGATTAACAAGGCAAGGGAGCTTGCAATGAATGGCAGGATTCTATGAAGCACAGAAGATCAGAGGGACCTCGGTGTGTATGTTCACAGATCCTTGAAGGCAGCAGGATAGATGGATGAGGTGTTAAGAGGGTAAGGCAGCATATAGAATACTTGTCTTTATTAGTTGAGGCATTGAATACAAGAGCAGGGAAGTCATGATGAAGCTGTATAAAACATTAACTAGGCCACAGCTGGATTACTACGTATAGTTCTGGTTATTCATTATTGGAAGGATTTGACTGCATTACAGAGGGCACAAAGGAGAGTCACCAGGACGATGCACGAGCTGCAGCATTTCACCTACAAAGAGAGATTAGGATTGTTTTCCTTAGATCAAAAGAGGCCAAGAAGGACCTAGTTGAGATGTGCAAAATTGAGGAGTATGGACGGGGTAGATAGGAAGAAACTTTTACCCTTAGTTGACAGATAAGCAAACATGAGCCACAAATGGAAGGCTAAGCGTGAAAGGCTTGGAGGAGATAGAAGGAAGATTTTTTTCACCAGGAGAGTGGTGGGTATCAGGAAGTTACTGCATAAAAGGCTGGTAGAAGTGGGAACCATCATAACATTTAAGAAATATTAAGATGATCGCTTGAAGAACCACAGCATTCAAAGTCACAGGCCGAATGCTAAAAAACGGGACTGGAATATAAGGTGCTTGATGACCGCCACAGACATGATGGCTCAAAGGGCTCCTTATTGCACTGTAAAACTCTATGGCTCTAATCCCTTCTCACAGATACAGTCTCAAATTGAACCAGGGCGCTTACAATCTCATTACCCCATGAGAACATGAGCATTCTCTACAGCACAATTGATTATTTCTATCACTGTAATGTTACTTGATTTTTTCACTCTCAGTCCACCTGCTGTTGAAAGGCTCATTCATACCTTTGTCAATTCTAACCTCTATTTACTTAGTGCCTTTAAAGTAATGTAATATCTCAAGACTGTCACAGAAACAATATATAGCAAAATTTGATACTGAACCACATACTATACACAAGGCAACATTAAGATAGATGTCAAAAGTTTGCCCAAAGGTAAGTTTTAAAGGAGCACTTTAAAGGAGAAAAGTGGTGAGCTAGAAGCTATAAGTTGCAGTGTTTACGACCCAGGCAACTAAAGACATATCCATTGATCATGAACATATTAAAATTTTGATAAATAATAAAAAAAAACTGCAGATGCAGAACAGCTGAAACAAAAACAGAAATTGGTGGAGAAACTCAGCAGGTTTGGCAGCATCTCTAGACAGTTCTTCAGATCTGACAAAAGATGAATGGATTGAAACTTTAACACTGCCATCTCTCCACAAATGCTGCCAAAATTTAGATGAATGCAGTTATTCTGGAACTCCCTTTGTAAGAACAGTTGGGGGTGCCCCTACATGGTAAGGGCTGCAATGAGGGAGTTGGCAACCATGAAGTTGTGGGTTTGGAGGACATTGTAGAGATACAGGGCGGTGAAGAGACCATGGAGGCATTTGAAAGTAAGGATTAGAATTTTAAAACTTTGCTTAACTGGGACCCATTTAGATCAGCAAACGTAGACACTCTCCGAGTTAGAACATTGGCAGGAGAGGATTGGATTACCTCAAATTTACAAAGTGAAGAATGAAAGAGGCTGGCCAATGGGAAAGTAAAGGTATGAAAGTTTCATCAGCAGATAGCTGCTGGACAAGATTATTGAGTGAAAATCCTGGAACTCTGTTCCTGACAACAGGTGCCCCTACACCCTAAAAAATGCATTGGTCCAATGAAGCAGCTGACAACCACCTTCTCCAGGACGATTAGGGATGGGCAACAAATGCTGGGTCGGCCAGCAACAGTCATTGAATAACTAAAATTCCAATGTTCTACTAGTTCAGCCTATCTTCTATCCTTCGTTAACCATGTCATCCAAAATTCTGTCCCTATCCTGTTGGCCTTCACTCTTGTTGATCTACATTCATTCCTCATATGGCTTTTCTTTAATTCCTTGCATTTTAAAAACTTGTGCCCTCTCCACACTTCCCTCCTTCAGATTTTAAACAGTTGTGACCTTCAGCCGAAATCTCTCCCTCTGCCAGGCAGACAAACTTTTGCACACACTTTTTCTGGCTCAGTCACCATGTTTTGGAGGCTATGCTTCCGTCAACGACTTTGAGATTATGAAACAGCTGAACGAAGGGCATGGGCTTGGGATTCAGGGGTTCCCTCAACGCAATGTCAAGCGGTCAGTCTGTGTTATTCAACATAAAAGTGCGGATTGCCTGCTTCCCGCATGGGAACATTTACTGAGCTCCAGGGGCATGTGTTTGTCTCAAATGACCCCACCGTCCGTCCACGACCCCACCCCCCCGTCCACCCCCTCCCACGACCCCACCGTCCGTCCACCCCCTCCCCCCCGTCACATGACCCCACCGTCTGCAACTTCCCCGATCCTGTTGTTTACTCCCTCCCATTTCCCCCACATGATCCCGCTTTTCCACCCCCCACGGCTGACCCCAGAGTCTACCGTGGCCCGGGCCTGAGAAGGCGCAACGGCGCCAGGCTCTTTCAGTCGGACTCACCCGGGCCGCCAGTTCAGCAGAAGCCGCCGGACACCCAACATGGCGCCCACGCTGCGCTCGCCTCGCGCCGACTACCCTCGAGCTGGAGAGGGGGAGGGGTGGGGGTGGCCTGTCTGCCGCCTCTCACTGCCTTCTCTGATGGCCGGAGCTGCTCCTTGTCCCGCTGGTGGCGGCTTCACTTCAATCACTCTCGCTATTTTTTCCCCCTCTAAAGCGGTTAAACACTGCTGCTCACGCAGGAATTAAACTCCTTCTCAGCGATC